AGAATATATATACATATAAATAAATAAATAAATAAATAAATATATATATATATATATATATATATATATATAAGGGAATGATAATGGAATATGAAAAACAAACCTCTAAAAAAACACCCTTATATTTAAATTTACAAGAATAATTTTAATCGAAAAACACTTGTATGATATGAAATAATATATAAATTATTTTGTTTTGCTGTACAAATAAAATTTCTAAGTATTTTTACAGTTTTTCTGCATTAATTAAAATTTCTCAGACGATATTTGACAAAATATCCCATTACTGCTATATTATACGATAATGTCTGCCACTATTTAAGTACGCAATGGATTTTCCATGAAATAGGCCATAGATGTCATAAAGTGTGTGTGTGTGTGTGTGTGTGTGAGCATAACTAAATAAGTAAAATAAATTTCGCGGCTCCAGGATATTATCGATTCGTTCCGTCTTTTAACGCGGTGTAAAATAAACTGTATCTAATATTGTACAACATGCACATATTTCAAGACTTGATGACCACGAAGTCTCGCGTAAGCTCGTGTTCATCTTTTATTCATTTTTTATATAACGGGTCTTGAGTATTATAATTATCGAATTATTGACTTGCTAGTGTTAAAGTATAATAAGTATCTCCAGTTAGCGATCTCCAATAATTTTTGTTTTGCAATTAGATAAAGAAATTGAATACATTGTTTATTTTGAACAAGATAAATTAGTTATTTTATGAGATAAAAAAGAGAGAGAGAGAGAGAGAGAGATGTAAGTAAAATATTGCACATATGGTTGATAATAACAATATTTCTCAAATTTCTATTTACGTTTTATTGAAGATAAATATCACAATTATTAATTGTTAATAAATATTTATTTTTATATAATTTATTTCTATAGTTATTTTTATAGAATTATAACTATTTTAATAGATTTTTGCGAAGGATTATATTCCATAATATTTATATAATATATAATATAAAATATAACAAGATAACAAGAATTGCATAATAATTAGATATTACTAACATTCACCTCGCGCTTCTAGAGATGTAAGATTAATATCTCAAAAATCACATATATTTCTCTTTTCAAAAATAAACGATTCGCATTCTACTCTTCTTCTACGTTTGCATATACACCTTAATACATTTTCTGCTAGTAGGATCTCTTATTGTAAACTTTGAGATGATTACTAATGTTCAACAAAAGTTTAATCATCTTCCCGCAGACAATTTCTTGCGCCTCTACCGCGAACTTATTTTCTATCAAGAATGTGTAACAAACTGGAATATCGAGATTGACGCAATTAGTTGCAACTGATTATCTGAGATCACCATTTCATATCCTGTCAATGTTCCGGGGTCCCTGTCAATGTTAGTGGGTCAGCCGGACAAAAGGGTAAGCAGGTTACATGGCGAACGACAAGCACGCGCTTCAGTATCCCACCCAACTTGTCATTACGCGTCTTCTTTTTACCTCATGATCTTCAATGTGGAAGTCGATGAATGACGGTCACTTACGATGCATATTCTTTTTCTGTCGGGCTCGTAGCCGCGAGTGAAAGCTCGCGCGCGCTGAACGTGCTCGCCATGCTTCCGGCGCGGCATGTTTGTTCGTTTCTCATTATCGACAATTCTATAGGTGCATAAAATGTCCGCGGAAAATAATCTTTCGGTGATGATGCATGATGATTCCCTATGCAGATGTGTTAGATATATATTTCCAGGCCAGTGGAGTAAGACGGTTGTTTCTTCCGGGTTGCATTCCGCGAAAATATTGCTCGGATTCAATGAATCTTTAGCATTGAGTTTCCTTGCGGCTTGAAAGATAAGCTCGACAAATTTTTTTAAGATTCATCAAAAGTATGAAAATGTCAGTAACCCTATCTGAATAAAAAATAAAATAAAATAAAATAAAGTTAGTTATTACAAATCATATTTTTGATGCGGACAAGATTTTTAAATTTTCAATAAAATAATTCTTCTTTCTAAGCTTTCTTCTATGCCATAAAATTATATAAGCTATTATATAAAGAGTTATAATGTTACAGGATTTATATATCGATCAGCATCAGTGTTATGATCAGTCAATTATCTGATTATTAGTTAGATCTCAAAAAAGCAGCCAGACACTATGTGCAGGATGTCTATTTTCTGAAAAAATATGAAGAATCTAAAATTTATAAGCATTTTTGTATATTAGGGAATTCTTATTAGGAAATTTTATTAGAACTCTAATTTTATTAAAATAGGAAATTTAAAAAGAAATTCTTTGATAATTTTATTCTTATATTCGAGCCAGACAAGTCGAATAAATTATGTATTTAAAATATATTATAAATATACATATATTTATATTTATATTTATATATTCACTATTTTAACAGAATATACAATTTGTATTTTTTTATTGCAATTTTTAATTTAAAAAAATTAAAAATGCAGATAAAAAATTTATTTTATGAAAGCTATTGAATCTTTTTTTCAGTATTTTTTGAAATCTAACATTTGAAATTAAAGTGGCTTATTATTTTTACTTTTTATGAATCAAAAACATTAGAAAACGCATACAATAAAAAATTTATTTTAGAAAGCATTCAAAAAATTTTTACAAAAATTCTCTACCTATCCAGAATTTTAAAAAAATTTCGGAGGTTAGAGAAGAATTTTTAGGAATTTGTTTTGCAAGAATATATATATATATATATATATATATATATATATATATATATATGTCAACAATCCTATAAAAATCGTTAAAATATATATAATATAATATAAAGAGAGATTTGATAGATTACTATTAGATCAATTTAGTCTTTTATTATTTGATTTCATTTATTTAATCATTTGTTTACGGTACATTGTTGTTTGAACGATAGGTTAGATAATCTCTTAAAGTAAGTCAAGCATACTAAGAAGACCAGATATTGACCGTGAAGGAAGAGTGGTTTTTAAAAATTGCACTCGAATGGCAAATAAACGATTCGAAACCAAAGTAAGGCGCACAACTGTCGTACGAAGGTTACAAACCGGTTGCAGAAAAGAGGCTGCGTCGCAACATATAAGTATGATATTCTACAGATGGAGAGTGCAGTGGCATTAATAGGTCGATCAATCGCCTCTCATTTTCTTATTCTTTTATTTATTTTTTACCGCGTTATACGAGTTGTTATGTAACAATTTCAGTTTAAATATACTCTAAAAGTCATATTTATACTGCCTCTTTTATATTCTTTAGATAATTTAGGATCGATTTTTTTTACAATAAAGATTCAGGAATTTTTCTTAACTTGACTGTGCTTAATATTTAACATTAAAATTTCTCATAAAAACTTTTAAATCTATATCTTTGATTAAAATTTTAATTGAGAAGAAATATAATATCTGGCTCTACTTTAAAATATGAATATAATCTTATTTTTTATTTAAAAAAAAATAAGTTTAGCGGTATATCAACTGCGCGATTAAGTTGTCAATCTAGCGGCTACTATCTGATCAAGATTTCTCACAAACTTGGATCAACAGCGGTGAACATATCCCTGAGCTTAAATATCTAAATATTTTACCTTTATAGGAAAATAACAGAAAAATTATACTCCATAATTTTTTTTTCGCTAAAAAAAATCGACTTCCTAGATTCATTAAGACAAATTATACGAGTTTCTGGTACGAAAATATTTCCTCAAAAATAAAATTGCTGACCCATTTTATAGCGTTTACTTTCCGCTTTAGACAGAGATAATTTACAAATTATAACGTTACTTGTGTGACTATCCACGATAAAAAAATTGAGGGTCGTTGCGGGTGGGTACCTTAGATAATATAGAGCTCCCGAGGAACTCATCGAGGAATGTTCGTTTACAATTGCGTGGAAGAGAACGTCGCGAAGAAAAACCTTTCTTGGATCTGCGAAACGGATAAATGAAGGACAGTATTATTACGGCATGTGTGTTGTCGTTTGTTCTCATTCTGTAAGTACGATTACAGGACACCCCGCTTGCTAATAATGTACTACAGAATGAAAACGGAATATATAGCGTTTAATAATTACGGTGCGGTTCACCGCTGTTATTTTGAATAAGAAGCTTTGTGAGAAATCCTGATTGTCTTTAGATAGCAGCCTCTAGGTTACTTAATCGTGCAGTTGATGTACCGTTAAAATTATTTTTTTTTAATCAAAAATAAAATTATATTCATATTCTTTCTAGGATTTATAGGTCAATTGGACAATGGAGTCAGTTTGCGACTTTTAAGATAGTTTGATTTATTTTTTTATGGGTGAATATATACATTTTTATATAATTCATTGAGTAAATATCTTTTTACTTTCTGCAGACATAAAAAATGTGATGTAATGATTAGCAAAGAAAACTAATAAATCTACCAAGAATCATCCTCTCTCGTAAATTCCGATAATCCTCCTAGTGCTTTTCTCTTAATTTCTAGCCATTTTATTTAATGTTAGGAATTTTGAGCTTGTTTCACTGTCATTACATGAAAATTTTACGATCAGCCAACCGTCAGCAAACGTTCTCTACGTGTCTCTTAAGATGTCGCATCGCAGAGTGCAGCGGCAATCTCTCTGTACAGTATTATCTAAGCCATGGACCGTTACCCCCACCGACCTAAATGTACGCCGTATAAATGGTCAGGACATCTTCTCACCACTGTCAGTATGCAGTGCATCTAATCTCGTCTATCTGCAAATGTACCTCACGGTGCTGTGAAAATAGTATGCGGGTCTCGTGATGTTAATTGTTTCATACTTTGCATAACATTAATTATGATGAATTTCTTTTAATTAATTACAGAACTCTCCCCTTTTCTTTTTCTCTTTATGCGAGACATCTCGACAATTCATACAATTTGCGATCGATAATGACTATACGAAAGTTCGGTGCCGGACAGCTGATCGTCATCGTCTGCAATGAAATATATAAATCAGTTAATTGAAACGATCAAAAATTAATAGTGCAAAATTAAAATTGTTTATTTGCATTATGAAGTGCGCAAATTTTCAAGTTATCAAGTGGTCTTGCAGAAATGGAGGGCCAAGAGTGGCCGAAATATCGTGTTGGATATTAGTTCTGTTGATTATTTGTTCACGGCGAACTCACTCGTTGACATTTGATAATACAACGAATCTTTTTGTCCAAAAATGCCAAATGGAATGCAACTTGCACAAAGATTTTACAACCTGCGGGAAATACAAAGTTGTGAGGTGGTTGAATACAATAGTTAGAGAAAAGGTAAGTTTGTTGTAAATTGTTGTATAATTGTTGTATACGATTTATATTAAGACATTAATGATCTATCAGATAATTTTATAAATCAGATCAATCAGATAATTTTATAAATCAGATAACTTTTTAAATGCAATTAGGTATTATATACGTATAATATTTAATTACATTTGCTAATTGTGTAATAAATAGAGAATAAGTGTAATAGTTTAAAATAAATATTATTTTTTTATATATATTTTTACTATTATAATAAAATAATAAATTATTAAGAGATTGCCGCTTATTAATATTATTTGAGCCAATTTTTATTTATATATCATATGTATATGTGATTATGATATAGCTATATTAAATGCATAATATATAACATATGATTTTAATGATGTAATAAAATTTATAAAAACTGGATTAAGATATTAATGATCGATATAAGTTAGATATATAATAATAACAATTATATATATATATATATATATATATATAATTGTATATATATATATATATATATATATATATATACAATTTATAAAATTATAATTAACAAAATAAATAAAATAACAAATAAAATAAAATATTATGATTCAGGAATTTAATTACGGGCCGTTTCGAATAATAAGGATACCATCAATACACAAGCAATCCTTTTTGCCCTATTTACCACGTTCTCGAGCATTTAAGAGCAGTATAACGGAAACCCTGAACTTTATTAGGGATAGTGTAGAAGATTTATTGACAAAACGTGCCATTGTATATACAATAGACAATTCAGCAGTTACCAGAGGCTTTCCGTCGAGTTTGATGTTAGTAGACGAAGATGAACTTACGCAGATGAAAGATAAAGAAAAAGTGGAAGGTAAGATTTAAAAACAGATCAAATCTGTCAAATACGATAAAATATTTATATTAATATAAAAATATATCTAAAATATTAGATTTTTCTGCGCGTTTTTATTTTTTATTTATAATCTAAATACATTTTTTATTTATAAATATATAATATTTAATAATATATTATAAATATATACATTATAAATATATAATAAACCTTGATGGATAAACATATATATATCATATTATAAATACTTATTCTTTGCACTTTTTATTTTTGAGATTCTTGAAGTTGTCAAAATTTTTATGGCAATATATATTAATTTCTTGGTAATATAATAAATGAAAAACGTGTATGTGTACTTACTATTTTATACAACGGGACATTAAAATTCGTATCCGACAGCATAATCGCAGCTTTTTTGTTTCGGATAACGGGTAACGTTATGAAACAAGTATTATCACTGCAGAAACTATGCAATCTATTACAATGCTCTGTATATTTGAAAAAAGCGATGAGTGCGACGGTGAAATCACAGAGTTTACTTCCTCTTGTATTTCTTGTAACGGCAACGAAATTTAGTTAATGTCAATAGTTTTATAATTTTATAATTAGTAATAGTGAAAGGTAAAATATTAATAAGTTATACTACTTTACAGATGATTGGCGAATTTTTAGAAAGAAGAAGAAGTCTATAATCTTTCCGATTCTTATAATATTAAATTTAATAAAGCTAAAACTATTACTAGTACCAATTATCCTAGGAGTTCACTTTATCAAAAAGATTCTCGTATTTGGATCGATACTTTTAACATCGATATTGGCGCATTTAAAAGTTTGCAAATTACAAGGTGGTCAATACGGTGGTGCGCACCATTCGCATCCTTTTAACTTCTGGTCCACTGCAGTAGAATCAAATGACTATCCAACGGGTAAGAACATTTTAAAGAATATTTTAAACTATTTTTGAAATATACTAAGCAAGCATTTATTATTTGATAAACTTTTAAATAGTCTAAATGAAAAAAAATATGAAGAATAATAAAATATTCAAGTGTTGTAATTGTTTAGACTCTCAAAAATGATGAAGCATTACCGTATTTGAGATTCGTTTTATAATAATACGTCATGCGTTTGATTATATTGTAAGTTACACATGTGCTAATATGAAACAAATTTCTTTATCCAACAAAAGTAACTGGCATAGTATGATAGATTTGCATAATTATAAATTATGTAGGCTAAGTTAAGATCAGCATCGTTCATATGGTGTAAGAAGTTAACTGATATGCACTTTTATGGAGGAATATACATGAAGTATTGATGTACATCAATGTATTTAATGTCGGTCAATAGAGATAAGTAGCAAATTGTAGCCTTGACACATCTGCTAGAGTTCATTTCGATAACTGTATATTTGACATAATTATACATATACTTATACATATAATTATACATATACTTATACATATAATTATACATATAATTATATATATAAATGTGTCATCAATCTTTTTAAGAATTTTCTTCAGAGATCAATACAAATGTTCAATATCAATATTTGCCATAATATTGAATTTCTTTTCTATACAAAATTGTCATATGTTAGAGGAGATGGGGAGGGCAAAGCCCTACTTACTTAAAGTATCATAAGTTTTTAATACGTATTTTAATATTCTCTTTGTAGGATATGGACAAGACGACACTAATTGGCACAGAAACGATTACCAGTTAGGTTATACGAATTATCAGTTGTTTCGTAATCCTTACGGGTGAAAATGTTACAAACTGTCATCGATTACTAGCGAAAAATTCTTTAATATAATTCTTTATTTTGGATAATCTTCTGTGTGTGAGTATATGTATTCGGTGTGTGTGATGACGTGAAATGTGCAATCAATTATATCGAGACATGCGAACTTTTGTTAATACGTTAAATAGTGCAATTATTATTGATTTTTGTAATTCCTCCAATCACGATAATCGCGCAATTTTCGATAAAATGACTCGCGATGATCCTAGTGAATTGGCATGTGCCGAGAGAATTTTAATTAACGTCGCCAATGCTTATCTCGGTTCCATTCGTTTACCACCTTCCTGCCGAAGAACACACACTCGCGAAATGACTTTCACGTAGCTTACCGTTAGTTGTGAAGCACATATTGATATATTTCAAGTATCTGCAACTTTGTAGACTTTGAGAAAGGGCACGGTGTTAACGATATATCTGTTTTCTTTCAAATCCCACATTAATAGAGAATGCTTGAAAGAAGAGAGAGATATACAACTAGAGAGACGCATGTCTCTTATAAATTATAAAAATTTAGCAACGGTTTGCGCAAATATGCAATTATTTATAATGCAAAGCGTCTGTTGACCTCTAACATCGAGTGTTGCATTCAACACGCGTGTTTCTCCAAGGAAGCAAATTTGCTTCAAGATGAGGATCGATAGAACCGGATGAATAAAAGAAAGAATGATTCGTGGTCAAGGTCACGTGTCGCCCGGATATTCGATCGGTCGAGTACGATGACTCCTCTGACTGACCTACTGGCTCATTTGGCAGATTTGGACGAGCGCCCGGTTTCTGGCTCAAACACACGCATGTAAGAGCTGGTTCGTCACGCTGTGCGTATACCTGTGCATACCTTGACCGACGTGTGTACATACACGTGTGACCCATGTCGATCGAAGACCGTTATCGATTCGAAGACGATGCCCGGCATCAGTCATATCTGTCGTCGACACATTTTAAGATGTTGTTACATCCGATATATTTTGCTCTCACCCTTTCCTTTTCTCAAGTCACCGCTCTCCTGAACCCACCGCTCGCTTAGTGAATTAGAATTAATCTTATAATTAATTTTTTATCATTTTTTGTCTTCTAATACATCGAAATAATTCGAAATCACTCAGATGATTGAGATCAATCTTTTTGTTTTTTGAAGAAAAGATTTTTTTCACATCGTTGGAATTTTTCATTATTTTCAGTTGTAAGAAAATATGTGGAGCCTGTTATAAAGGATATTATAGAAGAAGACGACGTAAAGATGTGAGAAGTTGTAAAGTCGCCACACCGACGAGCGATAGATTGATAATGATGTTCACGCGAGCTTCATGAAACGGTAGGAAGCGCGAGTCGGAAGCGACACATTGCGCATCGCTACGGATATGCGATCGATACGCGGCGTGCACTCGTCCGCAGCAACTCGACCGTTACGTTCTTACGTTATATGCGAACGAAAAAGTCGCATTAACGTAACGGACCGTCGTTCATGTCATGGCGCTCGACTTACGCATCCGTATATACGTCGAACGTATCGTTCGTATATTGTACGATTCACATATACATGATTCATATGCGCGATGATGTAGACGGATGATCCTGAACGGTATGCGTTAAACACCGGAGATGTTACTCAGAATGTTGTAAATCGAGTTTGCGGAAAGGAAAGGCGTGTCTGCATAAATAATTTAATTGAAGCTTTAGTTTGAATAGTTAATCTGTTCTCTTTTTTTTAAAGGAAATCGTCTTTAAAATCGAAAGATTATATCGTGTTAAATGAGTGATTCTCTGGAAGAAATATTCAGATGAAACGTGAACTTTTAACCTCGTTTCATAATGTACGAAAATATGAGAGAGAAAGAGAGAGAGATTGAGAGAAAGGGGGGAGGAGAGAGAAAGAGATCATTTTAAATTTGATCGTTTTAAATTTTCTACTTGTTTATATAAAAATGTAAAGATCACAAGATCGACAAATCTGATGAATTTTAGATATAGTTTTAATTTAAATATAATTTTTTTCTTCTTAGATACTTTTTATCGATATTACTTCTATAATATTGCGTGTTTGTGTGAATGGATTTCAATAAAAAGAGAGTAGGTAGAAGAATATTATTAATGTTAGTGATCGAATGTTAGTGACTGTATTTTTTAATTCTCATAGATTTACTTTTTAAAATCTTTTAAGCAATCTTTTGTGATTAAAAGCAAATTGCATATTTAATGTTATTTTTCATTTGTGATTGTAAATATAAGTAAAATAAAATTGTAGAATAAATTAATGTGTTTCCCTTATTTTTCCTCGAAATGTGCACTATAATATATTATACTTGCAAATTTCACGCTCTGCTTTATGTCGAGATTGTGACGTATCGATCGACAATTGTAATATACATATATACTTTGTATGACATATGTTATACGTGTTAATATAAGAATATAGAAAGATTTATTATTTGTTTTTTTAATTAAATTTTTGCATTTAAAAATAATGACTTTTTTATTCAGTGTTTTATTAATTTGGATGCGTGATAAGCTAAATATACATATTAACGAAAAATCACTTAGAAAGAATCTGCAAAAAAAAACACAAAAATATAAATACTAGAAATTAAATGATTTGTTTTCGTGAAATAAGCGATTCTATAGGTGTGTCATACTGGTTTGAACGTGAAACTTGAATTAAAAGAAGTAACACACCGGTTTGACCCTGTTTTAAGGAATACATTTTTGTGTAATGAAATCAGAGTAGGGATTTCAACTAATGGGATAATGCCAAATTATAAATTAAAAATGTCGGTACAAAAAATGTATGGAATTATCATAGAATTATCAGAAATGATCATATCAAATTTTAAGAACTAAGAAAAATTGATCTTTATAATTATTTAAAATTTTTTACAAGGGAGAGAGATGCATTTAAATTATAAGAAAAGATTTGTTTCATCTTATTATGTATCTTAATGTTTATATTAAACATTATAAATATATTAAAAAGAATATATTTATAATGTTTATATTTCCTCTCTTTTTACAACAAACATTTTGCGATTTATGATGCAAATTCTGACCTTTTTACGAGGCTTTCAAGAATCTGTTTCTATTTGAAAACGTCGATAGTATTCGATAATATTCTTATAAAAGTTCTTTTGGCACTATAACGGGTTTCTTCTAACGCTAAATATCCATTTGCGAATACTATCATTGGTCTATGTATGCGATGTCAAGTATAACTGGTAATCATTGTGCTATAATCGGTCAGTTGTTAGTTTCATCACGAAAGAAAGAATGACCGATCTATCGACTGTGATGAAATCTAAATCAGTTTTTTGGAGGCCAATTTAGGTCACGAATGCTGTTTGATAAAAATGTCATTAAGGTATGCACTCCTGATATATTGCTAAGTTCTCCAGAAAATAAGAGAAATCGCTTGCAAAGTATGCAACCACGTGACTAAATTTGATTCAATTTAAACAAGTGATCTTTGCGACGAATCGAATGTAGTTTCCTCAGAAAAAGTAGATTGCATAGAAAAGAAGATTGATCAAAATACGTTACTTTTTAAATTTTTTTACTTCATTGTTAATAAATATTCGTACGTAATCATAAAATACCGTAACTTTTAGAGATAATAAGTGTCTATCAATTAATGTCTTATATTAAATTAATCACAATTAATCGTAAATTAATCATAAATTAATCGTAAGCAAGCACATTAGAAATGGAATATGATTAATGTATTTATTCACATAGATTTAAATAAAAAAGCAGATTTTAATTAACCACCTAAATCTTGCCGTTATAAAATATATTAATATAAGGATACACAGGAATAATGAAGCTTTCGGAATATGAACATTCTCATTCTGGAAATATTTTTCAAATATAAATAGCATTAAAAAAATATCAAACCAGATCTTTTCAAGGAAGAAAGGTTAATTCCATAATCAGAAATCTTTTCAGAGAAAAGTATAGACCAAACGCGAGTTGAGAACTTTTGTCGATTAATTTAAATTCTGTTTCATCATCTATAATTTCCTGTTTTTGCTTTATTTCTCTTTCTCTCTCTATTTTTTTCTTTCTTTCTCTTTCAGGCAAATTAAGATTTATTATTATAGATCTATTAAATTCGCAGCAATTATCGTGGGAAACAGTTTCTCATTGAGTGATATCGCTCATTAAATTGACTGATCATTTGTCAAAATACCGCCAAATGAAATCATTCGTATAGGATTCGAGTAGGATTTCAGTAGCTAGACCAGTGACAAATTCGATCGATCGGTTCTGAATGGGGAAGGATTCCCCCTTAAGGCAGCGATTGCATCTGTGATTCTTCGCAGGAAAGAGCAAGAAGGGTAGATTCTAAATCGATGGCGGGAACAAACGGACGAATGAACGAACGTAGCCAAGAAGAAAGGTGGAAAGGAATGGATAGAGGGACGAAGAGACGGATGGCCGGGTAACCCAGATCGGGTCAGTCAAGCCGATCCTACGGAGACCGGCTGCCAGTATAGCATCGGACGTCGTACACGATTCTGATTTTCTGGCCGCTTGGTCATTCAAGCGCGCTTTATCGACCGGCTACTTCTCGATTGTGAAAGAAATAACTTGATTGCTGAGATTCACGCTGATCATCCTTAATTTAGGTGCGAACAGAGTGTTGATGTCAGCGATTCACCGTAAAAGTGAGTATAGGACAATTTGCAACAAGAGATATCGATTAACAATCTTCTATGGACCATTGCATTTGATTGGATGAAATTATCTATAGCATATACACATGCATAAAAAAGCAATTAATTATTATATACTAATTATCACACACAAATATGCATGTTTAAATCTTTAAAAAATGAATTGCAAATGTATATTAAACGTATATTGATGAAACACTTAAATGTATATTGATATATTAGGATTTTGTGTGAGTGTGTGTGTGTGTATTATTCAAGATTTTATGTTATTATATTATATTACCTTCCATCCGTATTTTAGCAAAATTTAAAAACGATAAATGGGGAATCCTATTAAGAGAGAGAGAGAGAGAGAGAGAGAGAGAGAGAGAGAGAGAGAGAGAGAGAGAGAGAGAGAGAGAGATTTAGCTCTTTTCATTTAATTCTACTAAAACTTCTTTATAATTAATTTTATTAATATAGGATGCATAAAGGATTTTGGAAACTATATAATAATTATAATTAGATTAAAAAGCTTATAACTACATGTAATATATAAAATTAATATAAAAAATAAGTTTTTAGAAATTAGTGATCGATACATAAAAGGAAATTAAAATATATGAAAATTTTAGTAAAGATAATAAATGATTTATGCAAATATTAACAAATTATTAAACATAAAATGCAATCGTCATTTATTAATCTACACGTGTCCAGTAGAATTTTTGCATACAGTTCACTCACATGGATGACAGGATCAGCTGACCATTCGGAAAAGAAAGGATATGCAAGAGTGATGTAGCATAACCGAGTTTTGCTTCATGTATATAGAGAGAACTATGTTATTACTATAAACTGGTTTACTCGTGATGATTTTATTAATATTTCTTTTGTATATATATGGTACCGTTATGTATCTATTTTATTAATTGAGAGACGAAAAAAATATAGTCGATATGTCTTATTGTTAGATTAATAGAATAATAGCTCTTTGATTTTTAGATAACTTTGAATTATTTAATTATTAAGTAGAACAATTTTCAAAAAGAGATAAATGATAAAGGAATGCGTTTTTACTAAAAAAATCAATAAATTTAACATATGGTTATATATGCGTAGCTCATTTTCTAGATTTGTTTCTTTCCAGTTTCTTGGTGGCAAATTTAGCTTAGCATGTTTGTTTTTGATATTAACACTTATTATTTTATTTATTTAATCCTAAAATTTTCAATTCCTTTATTTATTCTAATTCTATTTGTTTCATTTCAGGAAACGAAGCTGCTGGTCGAGATGCAGTTCTTTTTCCATAGTAATCATAGCTAGCTAATAGTCACCTGGTGCCTTTCTCATAGCTCGGACAATGGCAAGAGGGAGAGCAGCCACGATAATTTCGATTGTGATCCTGGCTGTTGCATGCCTTCCTTCTATCGCGAAAGTCAAGGTCCACGCGGAGGCGTCCTTGAACGAGACCGTGCATTACGATGATTACGCCATTAAGGAAAACGTAGTACTCCTCTCTCATGAAACTGAAAACAAAACCGATGAATCCTCGTATGATCATCCTCACAGAATGTCCGGGAAACCAACTAAGTTTGACATAGAGTTTCATACGGACGACAAAGCGGATTATCAAATTGAACCGTCGAGAATGATTAATGTGACAGCTAATCCGATTGAAATGAATTCAACGACCAGCCAGTCTCTATCGAATTCGACAGAATGCAGAGAGAAACTCATGGTCTCTTGCATCCGAAAAGACTTCTCGGATTTTCTTGATCAGCTGTCAAGAATTGACACGTACAACGTAACGGAATCCGTGCAAATAATAAGAAATCCTGAAGCAAATGTTACATATAATGATCAGAAGAAGAATGACGATTCAGACTCGACTCTTCTAGATAAGGTTCATCACTATGCCAGAACGCATGTCATGAAGATACAGCTGAACAAGGATCTGAGCCTTGCTAGCAAAGCCAGGACGTTCTTTGGTTGTGAGTTTCTAGATTGCTTGCTATTGGTTTTTGTTGCGTGTGTACACTAGTGCCGTTACTTTTGCCGACAGAAAGGTGGATTTTTTGAAATTGCGTCATGAAACGCTTGCATCGAGTCGGGTGATATCGCATGCATTAATCATAATCATCAATCATTATTCGCATGTTATAGCGCTTGCCGCGAAGCAATTACGTAATTTATAATTGATGAAAAGTGAGAGTAAAGGAGTTTTATGAAAAAAGAGAATATAAAATATGTAAATTTTGCGATCTTAATTTCCATCTTTAATTTTATTTTCATGCTTTTCTTAAATAATAAATCTTTTTCTCAAAATTATTGTCTACAGAATTTTCGAGGAGGAATGCATCAATTAATTTCTTTTTTAATTATTTAATAAATGACGAATCTGGTACGCTCGTAGACATAATTTGGCATAAATAAAATCGCTCGTAGACATAATTTGGCATAAATAAAATCAGGGTGTCAGAGAGCTTTAATTTCATGAATTTGCTTTTTTGGAGCTAAATTAAGGTTGGATCGTTACTAATTGGCAGAAACGCGAACTAAACCAGCGATGAAACGGGTATAACAAGGAAAAAACAAGGCGTATAACATTGTGTGAGCGATAAAATTAATTATAACGTGGGGATGTTTTTATTCACACGTGGAGTGTTTCAGCAAAATGCGTGACACGCGGAGTTGCAGAGGTAGAATATGAAATGCTGATTGCGCAGCATGGCTTTCAGGGCTAATCGGAGGGCTTTAACAAGCTGGTACTTTTGCTTTCAGCCGTCTTTCAGGGAAAGAGTACCTTTTTAACAGGATTCGGACTTGGTTTTCTAGCGTTCGGTCTGAAGAAACTATTTCTACCCCTGCTCTTTGGTGTGCAGATAATTAAGAGTATATTACTCGCCCTCTTCCTACCGAGTATTATTGGCAGTATTGGTAATATTGTTGGAAAAGGTACGTATTTTTATTAAATTAAATTGTAAAAGTAAAGATATTTCAAAATAATTAGCAATAACTGACATGGCAATCTTTTATTAATTTAAAATATGCTAAAAATCCTCAATATGCGGTAAGTCTAATAAAATTAGAGAGATATTGTTGTGTGTATGCACGAATTAATTTTAAATGAATTTAATAGAACTGTCTTAATGAAATTTCAAAAGAAAAAAGTTAATGGAAATGAAAAAAGTCAATGAAAGTCAATGAGGTAATAAAAAGTCGGGAAAAAATATGTTAAAAAGTCAAAAGGAATATTACGGTAATGAAATATTTATTCCGAAGGAACGGTTTATCTGTCTTTTCCTTTTAAGGAATGTTATTCTATTCGTACAGTAACAGATATTAATATTAATATAGAAAGTGTTTATCATTAACTAAATATTATACAAATGTATGTTACTGAAATTACAGGCGTTTCGTCCTTTGCGCAATCCTCGCATAATCCGGCTGTAGTACCCGAGGAAAATTTCGAGTTCAAGGATAACACTGACCTGTACAACGACGACTACTTGACACGACAACCCGTAGGAACGTTACCAGCATCCGCCATGTACGACGAGAGCATGATGCAAACGCAGAAAAGCCCGGATATTGCGTCTCGCTATGCATTCGTCGACACAAAAATATCTCACGCAAATGCGCTTTCGGATCGTTATTATACGCGACACGTGGCTTCGCACGGACTTTCTAAAAAACAAGACTTTAAGGTGAGTTTTTCCAATATGCAGTTATTCTCCTTTTCTCTTCTCAATCTTTTCTTTTTAAACATTATCAGAATAAATAATGTATATAAATTATTACATATCATTTCTTGGACTCTATAATAATAACGCGGCTCTCTTCATATATTTAACACAGAAGAAGGAGAGTAAGTATCGAAATGTAATTTAATATTTAGTTGAGAAAATTTAATTTTTATTAAATAATACTAGAAAATAATACTCGAAAAATACATTATAATTTATACATATCGCATTATCTTGCACTTTGGAGGAAACGCTTTATGTTTGCATTATGAACTAGGTAAGTATGCCGTAACAATACATTCGCCTTTTTTTTCTACTCGACCGCTTCTTCATATTATCAACGATTAGCACAACGCCTTCCACTTTTGACACTCTCGCCTATTGAGATTCACGCGACCCACTTTCTTACTGACTTCATTTCGACTTGTTCGACAAGTGCTTAGTCGTTGCATGTAACAGATACCGGGACCATTAAATGACCACGCATTTGATTATCGGTGGCAGGTCTTCCACGAGATTCCGACGAGCTCCTTGCTTCTGACGAACTACGATCCGTTCTATTCACCTTTGTTGTCGCGTCTCGACGCCGTCTTCTTTCGTCTGGGCCACAACACGGAAGGCTGCAGGGAATACGCGGTGTGTGCAATGTATCGGAGTCCTGCAAGATACGCACCTTACTCGAACCTGGTCTCCGCCCAGCTGTCCAGGGAATTGAACGAGCTGAGGAAACCCAGCAGCGACAATCCCGATGTTCTGCGCTTCTTCAGGTACATGAAGGCCGCCAAGGACGGCCAGGATGGCGTCAAGTGCGAAGAGATCTACGCTGGCTGCGCGAATGGTCGTGAGGATCAGGTTCCGAAGCAGAATCAAGCGATGCTGGCGACGTATCAAGACATCAATAAGCTTGTTCAGGCCAGAAAGATCTAAGAAAACATATTTCGTCCATTAGCATTGCTGTCAATTGCGAATGCGACAAAGAAAGAAGATGCGTCTTGGATTTAGTTTCAGAAATCGCCTGCACAATTTTGAATTCATTAGTGCAGTTGCTCAAAAATTTAGCGTCCACTCTTAATTCGTTCGTAGATTTTGTACGTATGTAGAGTTGATAGACATTTTCTCTTAGAGCAGATTATCACACATAGATAAAGCGCTCGTTTGAAGCCTCAAGACGCAAAAGAAGATTTTCATTCTCGAAGGAATTTATTAATTTTTGATTTTACTAATTTTAGAATAGTATTTAACATTCTTTGAAACTTCCTCGGTTTAGACTTCCTTAGAGTTTGAGGGTCTTACAATTAGATGAAAGGGTTTGAAATCGATTTGCGCTTGAGGCTCTTGAGACAGTCATAATCAACACTATTACAACTGATGCAATTTCTTAAACAAATAATTCTTGATACATCGTATACACACAATTTCCTAAGTATCGTTTGTGCTAAATGAATTCTTAAATAGAGATTTTATTATAAGATTTCCGATATTGGTAGTGCCGCGCGTAAATTTTTAGAGCTTTAAGTCTTTTAATAATTATCTTTATGAAAAATCAAAAATGATTAATATAAATCGTTAGAAGTAGAAAAATTTGTTGAAAATTATTTTGAAATTTTTACTTTATCTTTTGCTATTTCTCTTACTATGTTAATTAAATTCTGTTGTTAAAACATGTTTAATAACGGATACAATCATTTGCTTAATAAACAATAGTAATTATCGTAAAACAGTGAAAGAAAGTGCATAGAATTATTAGAGATGTTCACAATGTATACATATGTATTCTTTAAGAAAGCCGGTCACATATGCATAATTGTGAACAACTGATAGTTGACATTGATATCATTTTCTAAGCATTTTTAAAAATGGAAACTGTGTTGATACAATGAAAGAGCATTTCGATTTATACAATCTTCAGCTTTGGATTACGAGAGAAGTACATCAATCTACTTCTTACGTAGCAAAGCGACATAATAATTGAAGTGTGATCTAATTATAATTTTAATATGGGGATTTTAATATTAGAGAGAAATGTATTTTTTTATTATAGTTAGAGAGATATGTCTTTTTTTCTTCAAGGGATTAAGTTACAGTACATTTTTTATGAATGTATCTTACATAAAATTCTTGAATCTTTAAGAAAGAATTATAATATACTTTATTAAAAAGTTATTCGCACCAGTGAGAAAATAATTGGTTAAGAATTTAATAACGTAAATAAATTATATTATCTCAAGTGTAAATATAATGAGCGCAGCGTTAAAATAATTGTATTTAATTTAATTTATTTAATTTATTTTTTTCAAGTACTATATCGAGCAGACACGCGATTTAATTTTGCGATGAACGATAGTGACTTTGAATATTATTTACTTATGTATGATGTGTAAGTATGAAAATAGTAGTTTATTCAATTCTAGTAAAATATATCGCGCAAAAAACACATATGTATTTAGATTTAATCTAATGTTATTACAAATTTGCGCTATTATATCACATTACGTTTTCACAATATATTTATAAATTAATGCATAAAATATGTCAAAAAAAAATTTAGCATCAGTCACATAATACTGTGCAATGTGTTACAGTTTTCAATATAATTATGATTATATAATTAAAATCCTGTTTAAAATATAAAAGTAAGAACAAGAGAGAATCTTTTACTTTATTAAAATTACAAATTGTAATAATTCACTTTTAAAAAATGTATAAAAACGTGGAAAGTTGATTGCTCAAAAATTTATTATTTCGTTTTTATGATGTCTATTAGTTATTACGATATGCATTATATATTATTTTGTATCAGCGTTAAGCGAAAATCGTATAATTTAACAGCTTTAATTGAAATTGAAGAGAAGAATGATGACAATTCTAATACTCTTCTCGAAATTGCAATAATATATTGTCATAGGAATAATAATATACTGTCATAGGAAAAATTGTATTTTGATAGGTTTTTTAATAGTGCGCTCGTCATGTTACTTTTGCTGCTAACAATAAGCGGATGTCGACCAAGTCCGCTTCTGGCGTATTCTAACGTATTACGCCATTGATGAAACGTAAAACATAAAAATTACTCAAACAAAAGTATTAGAAATAATATTTTTAAAAAATTAAGATGTTACTTGAATGAAACAGATTAACAAACGCAGTCAAAAATAAAATGAAATCTATTAGAAACGCTTGCAGATAAAAATCTGGTGGAGGTTTGAAAAATATGCAAAATGTTGCTGAAAATAGTCTTAGAGGAGTTTTTTGTACAGACAATTAAATAAATATTATTTAAAAAATATTATTCTTGATATGAAAAATTGGTATAATAAATCTTTCATAATATACATGAGTAATAATAAAACGAGTAATTAAAACAGCTGAAATATATGAATGACAATTACGTACAGTATATGTTAATTTAATAAAAATAATATATTATATTTATAAAATATAATATTATATTTATATTTATAATTTATATTATAATTATAATTATATAATATTTATAAAATAATATATTTAATATCAATGAAATATTTTTTTTTAATAGATGAAATTGCGTAAAATCAAACGAGCGGCGCGTATCACAAAAATAATATATGATAGATTATATGTATAACAAAATAAAATTTATGGCGCGAAAATCATATTATAAAATGAAAGAGCAGCGATGAAGAAAGAATGACTTCCTGATATGGCGATGACGCACCTTAAGTTGTAAACTGGAGATGAAAGTACATTGACTTCCTTTCTCTTACAGTGACGTACTTTCCGTCTCCGTTCCTTAAAACTACCTGGTTCCGGTTCTAATTCCGGGCATCACTTTCACTTTCAATTTTTGTAGATGTTCCTGTTCGTTGTTCTGGGAACGACTTGCGGATCCTTCCCCCTCTTGGAGAACAAGGTGGTCCGTTCATGTAAATATAAAGATGATGCGCAGGTTAAGGTATCACATGGCATTTGGATAAGACAGTGTCCAGTACGTATTGACTTTCACAGTTTATTAATTATTTAGAACGCCTAGTATTCCAATTTATAAAATTTACGCTCTACTTGGTACGGAGAGGTAAGATTAATCGATACTTTAATGTATCGATACATTTTGAATAAATTTTCTATCACTTTTATAATTAAACATTTTCCTTCTAATTTATTTTGTCTATTTATACCGTTTATTTCATTATATAATTTTATATAATTATATAATTTTATTATATAATTGCATTTTATTCATACATTATTCACTCCTTTATTATTTATCTATAAGCTCCTGGCCTACTTATATATTGGTTCATCTAAACGAAATACACTGATATCATTATAGGTTCTCACAGTTTTATAGAATAATAATTCACTTTGCAATTTTACAAATCAAAAAATGATTATAAGGTATACATTACTATTATTATTCAAGTGGAATACGCGCGTGATCAGAATTTAGAATCGAGAAGCGGGCTCTTTTATTCTTTAGCTCTGATTGGTGCGCTAATCTAACGGCACTTGGTGAACCAGCACGTTGACTGCCAACAGTCGATCTCACAGACTCTTCGAGTGCTGTTCGAGGATCACCACGAGCACATTTTCTTGATAAGAATGTCGCGTAGCAAGTGTCGATTATTTGATAGTTTGGTGAGAAATTTAATCGTATTTAAATTTTTTCTATTAAAGGAATAAATATGTGTGAATTGTATATGGTGCTTAATGATAATATAAATAATTGATTATTAAATGTATATGTAAAAAGATTATTAAATGTATATGTGAAAAATATTTTAATGAATTTTATTAGAAGTTTTTAAAAAAATTCTCTAAAATTATTAGAAAAATAATAAAGAATACAAGATAATTTGATAATAAGAAAATTAGTAGTTTAATAATTAATAGTTAATTACTAGTTTATATATATCAACTTCTAGTTAATAATTAATTAATAGTTTAAATGTTACTTTTTAGAGAAACAAGTAATTCAATCTATGATTAATATTAATTATTATTTTGATGTTATATACGCAATGATATCATATATCTTTTAATATCTTTTAATTTATATATTTGTTCTAAAACGTAAGTTGATAAAGATGTGATTACAGGAGGAATAATAGAAAAGCAGAATGCAGTTGCAGCGGTTGTTGGTAATTCTAGGAGTTCTTTTAGTATTGTCCTTACTGGTATGCTGTCAGTCTGCCAGCAAAATTACGTTTCAAGATGGCGTTTCTGAACAACAAGCAGAAAAACAAGGTATTATTTTATCTTTCAAACTTATATATGCACGTGAAGATAAATTTTATTTAGTAATTTTTTAAATAAAGTTATTTGTATCTAATTACAAAAATGTTTATACATGTATTTATTTTTGGAAACATGTATATCAAATTTCATGTATAGATTATAAATATATATATAATATTTAAAAATTACGTAACAATTATATAGATATAATTATTAAGAATTAATAAAAAATTATATATAATTGTATAAATGTAATTATATATAATTACAGGTATCTAATGTATTAGATATAAATAAAATATTTCTATAAATAATCATTTTTTAATATATTTTCTACATTGTGTAATTTAAATGAATAAAAAGTTGTATATTTTTACAATATTTAGTTATAAAAATTATAATAATTACTTAACTTATTTAGAGAAAAAAAGAATGTCATTCAGTTCAAAAGATTGTATTATACATTTAATTTAAAATAATAAGAATAATTATAAAATAAAGTTAAATAATGTGTGTTTATAATTTTAGAAAATCTCAAAGAAACATCGCAACAAAGAGGATTTAATCCTGCTCAACATGTAGAAGATCTATTCGATTATATCGGTTTTGGAACTGGACGAAATATCGATCCATATTTGGCAAAGGTTAATGAACGTTGTATATCTGGTGATTTAGCTGAATGTTTCAAATCTCAAGCGTTAAATTATTTTTCGGACTTTTTCGATCACTCCGAATATGCTTTAAGTAATTATGTTCGAGTTAAACGAATGTCTGATCGAGTGGTAACGGAAGTACATCGTCAGCCATATGAATATTCCAATGAACCAAGGTATGTTTTATTATTTTGATATAGAGATAAGTGAAAGAAATATATAAGAAAAGTATATATGTAATTGTATATATTGTATATAGATAGACATACAATAATGTTTATATAATTAAGAAATATGCTAATAATTTTTTCAAATATTTTAATTTAAATGCTAATTAAATTATATTAATGAAATATATGCACTACATTTTTTTTATTAAAAATAAAATATATTCAACAGATCTGGTGAAACAGAATGGGATCAAATGGTTAATTTTTTAAAAAGGAAAGCTGAAAGATTTGTTAAGACAATGTCCTTTGAA